CCTTGCCGCACTCGCTGGCCCGGAATCATAAAATCTGGAAGATGGAAAGGGTGTCGGGAGCAGCACGGAAGAAGAAGAAGGAAAACCCCAAAGAGGCCAATTTGCTTTCACATTTCGCAAAAAAAGTGGAAAACTTTTTTTTTTTCCCCAGCACTTGGTGCAAATGGTGCCAGAGCAGGTGGTGGTGGGGATGGCGGTTTTCACGGTCCAGAGGTCACTCAGTACACGTCAGTTACACTCCACGCGACTGGAGTAAGCCATGCCTGAAATTACTTAAATTTTTGCCTGTGGGAATGCCTTCTTTTTAAAAAACACAAAAACCAAAAGGGCTAATTGCAGAGAGCTTCCGTTATGAAAAAAAAGACTGAAAATTGTCCCTTTGGCTGCCTAATTTTAACCATTTCAAGCCAGGCAACCCACGCTGCACGACTCAATTCGGCCTCCTGCTTTTTTTTATTATTAAAAAGTTTTATATAAGTTTTTAACAATATCCCCCCCTAAAATAACCCCCTCCCTCCCTTCCCCCCTCACTTCCCAGAGCTGGTTACAGGGTTACAAATAAACAAACGAATTCTAAATAAACTTATCCAACTATACAAATAACAAAATCAATAATGTACTTTAACTCGAATACATATATATATATATGTAGGTCTTTGGTTGTTCAGGTTTTCTCCCGCGTAAAATTGGAAGTGTCTTGGCGACATTTCGACGAAGTCCCATTCGTCATCTTCAGGCTGGTGTTTTCAGCTTCGTGCTTCGAGGAGCACGAAGCTGAAAACACCAGTCTGAAGATGACGAATGGGACTTCGTCCAAACGTCGCCAAGACACTTCCAATTTTACGTGGGAGAAAACCCGAACAACCAAAGACCTACATACAAACACCCGCGAAAACCTCAGAAAACATATATATATGTTTATATATATATAAGCAATTCCAAAATGAAAAACTAAAAATTATTCATAATCTAAATAATACTTTTTAATCCCATATCAACTCTATTTACTCTACATGTAATTTATCCATCTTCTCCAAGCTGAGGTGTATATTTCTTTTAAACCACCATTCATCCATAATAAACACAAAATTTTCCTTTCAATATAACCCAACCAACAAACTTACGTTCGATAAACTTCGCTATTTGCTTTTTTCCCCAACCCTAAGTAAATCTATTAATACCCTCCTGCTTAAAAAGTTTCAACAAGCCATTCATCTTAATCACTAAAATTCTCACCAACAGAGATCATTAGAATTTTTTTTACACATTTACCCATAATATCTCACAATTATTTTTATACACTTTAAATTAAAAATTTTATAATTTTATGCTTTTTTTTTTTTTAAATGGGCCTTCTACCTTGGCTTTCTCCCCGCTAGGATTATCAACGACTCTCTGGGTTTGTCTTAGATCCACTGGGAGACGCTAAAATCCCACTACTCGCTGTTTCATTTTACGTATTTTGCCCAGCTTCTAATCCCACCGCTTTTTTTCTAAATTATTAAAAAAACAGTCCTGGTTTGGTCCTCCAGGCTCATTTCTCTGAGCGGTGCTAGAAGCTAATGCTTGCCGCCCTGCCTGTGCTTTAAAAAGGCATTTTGGGAGTTCCCAGTGTGATTTACCACACCACGACAAGCTTTAATGTCTGCTGGTATTATAATCGACTTTATCTTAATACAATCTTTCCCTGCTAAACACTCTCGAGACTTAAAAACCATTTTTTTCCAAAGGGGAACATTGTCAATGATAATTCTGATCAAGCTATGATTATTCTTAGAGCATCCCCCTCTGGGCAATTAATAAGAGGGGGCTTAATATATTATCTCTTTGTTTATCTTTTGTGGCTGTTCTTGTTTATTAAGCATCTGAGGACCACGCAGAATGCTAAGCAGCTACTCGGAAACCCGCACACCGCCAACTGGCAACTGTGCTCATGGGGGGCTGTGAATTCAGGGGAATAGCCAAGGGACGTGGGTTCCACTTTTGTAAAACTGACCCCCCACCCAGAGCCTTTGGTGCCTAGACTTTGTTTCCTGCCGCTGTCGTTGTTCTCGCCATTCTGTGCCACTCTTTCTGTCAAAGAATGCCACCAAAAAAAGAACCACCAAGCCACGTGTCACCAGGACGACGCAAGAGTTAAAACCGGGAGGATTTCGGAGATGTTAAGCACGAAAACCCGGATGGGGCTGAGCAAGGCCAACTTTTAGGTACGGCTTCTGAAGTCTTTGCAGACTTTATAGAATCAAGATCACGTGAAGTATTAATACCGCTTTACAAGGCCTTGGTAAGGCCACACTTGAAACAATGCATCTAGAACAGAACAGGATGGAACGGAACAGAACAGAATAGAATGCAGAGTAGAGTAGAGTAGAGTAGAGTAGAGTGGTGTGGAGTGGAATGGAGTGGAGCGGAGCGGAATGGGATAGGATAGGATAGAATAGAATAGAATAGAATAGAATAGAATAGAATAGAATAGAATAGAATAGAATAGAATATGGAATGGAATGGAATGGAATGGAATAGAACAGAACAGAACAGAATAGAATAGAATACAGAGTGGAGTGGAGTGGAGTGGAGTGGAATAGGATAGGATAGGATAGAATAAAATAGAATAGAATGCAGAGTGGAGTGGAGTGGAATAGGATAGGATAGGATAGAATAAAATAGAATAGAATGCAGAGTGGAGTGGAGTGGAATAGGATAGGATAGGATAGAATAAAATAGAATAGAATGCAGAGTGGAGTGGAGTGGAATAGGATAGGATAGGATAGGATAGGATAGGATAGGATAGGATAGAATGCAGAGTGGAATGGAGTGGAGTGAAGTGGAATGGAATGGAATAGAATAGATAGAATAGAATGCAGAGTAGAGTGGAGTGGAATGGAAAATGGAATGGAGTGGAATGGAATGGAATAGAATAGAACAGAACAACAGAGTGGGAAGGGACCTTGGAGGTCATCTAGTCCAACCCCCGCCCAAGCAGGAGAACCGACACCATTTCTGACAGATGGCAGTCCAGCCATGCGTGTGGTGGTCTTTACTGGCTTTGGTGCCAGGCTAGGAACCGTTTTGGGAACCACAACAACATCTCCTTGCTCTGCTAAGGGCCAGAATGTGTCCCGGTGCGCAAAGGAGACTTACGACTAGCTGGAGGAAGAGAGGCCCGCGGGATTTCCCTCCGGAGACAGGATTGGGTCTGATCCCGCTAATGGGTTGCCGAGGAGGAGGAGAGCTGCCTTCAGCTAATGCTCAGGAAATCAAAAGCTCCGGGTGACAGATTTCCTTCGGCCCTAGCGCAACCCCTCTGATGGGTTTTCTGGGGCCTGGATCTTCGGCGCGCTCCTGTTCCCGAGTAAATTAAACTCATTTGTCATCATAATCGGTAATGCAGTGTGTCGGCCGAGCGGGAGAACAGCCATCGGGCTCCGTCTGCGAGGCTCGCAATGCTACAGGCAACGGGACAGCTTGATGCCTTGTCAGGAGGCCGTCGAAAGAAGGCACGAACCCATTTGGCAGGCACAGAAAAATGAGATTTCCTGCCCAGCACAATTTCTGTCCTACCCTGCAGGTTGGAAATCTTTTTAAAATCCACCTTGTAGGAGGAGAGCGGTGTTAGGCTACGATGGAAAGAAATCAGGAGCAGCCCGGAAGCCCCTCCTGTGACCCACGTTTTTTTTTTTTTATTAAAGCTCGGGAAAGCTTGTGTTCTTTAATCAAAACGTGCTGGACAATGTGCTCCTGATTCCCTTCCGAGTTTCTAACCCCAGCTGCTCTCCGACGTCGGGAGAAAGATTTCCCACAGGTCATGGGAAAGGAATCCCCCTGTCCTCACCTCTCCGACACTGTCCTAAGCTCCTTTCTTGGGCTCAAATAGAACCCAGAAGAACAGAATCGGAAGAGACCTTGGAGGTCATCTACTCCAACCCCCCCTTCATCATCAAGGCCTGGTACCACTCCTAATACTGGCTCATGGCAGGGGTAGGCAACCTTGGCTCTTTTATGACTGGTGGACTTCAACTCCCAGAATTCCTGAGCCAGCATGGCTGAGCTTGGAAACCTCTCCCTTTCCCCTCAGCGTGGCTGGCTGAGGAATTCTGGGAGTTGAAGTCCACGAGTCATGAGGGGGCCAAGTTTGAAGACCCCTGCTCTAAATGGGCTTTATTTTATCGTGAGGAAGCCATAGTTCCCCCACGCTGGTTCACGAATTCTGGGAGTTGAAGTCCACCAGTCATAAAAGAGCCCAGGTTGCCTACCCCCTGGGCTAGCGCATGGTCCAGAGGCTGAGTTCACACAGTATGCAAAACCCCAACCAGGGTTTTGTTGTTTTTAAAAAAGCTACTCTTCCTCTCGCGTAATCTGAATTATGGCTCCCTGGGATGAAATGTTGAGTTCACCAAGGAGGCAAAGGAAGAGACTGAGATTGCCACCACGCAGCGAGCCACTGAGCGCCCGACCCCACCGGGTTGTAGTAGCCAGGGGGGTCTCCAAGTGCCCTCGTCAAGCTCCCATTGAACTGGTGTCCATCTGCCTTCACAGGAGAGTGGACACTGTGAGCAAAACAAAGCCGTTATCGTTTCACGAGGGGGCTTCGTTAGACCATCTGCCAGCCAGGAGCTGGCACTAATTGGAGTATTTACCGCCGTCTGTACAATAGCAGAGTTTCCCCCCCCCCCAAATAAACCCAATGGTGCTCTCGCTTACCTTCTCCCTGGTCATCAAGGAAAGCCAGCCCCCCTCCCTTCCCACCCCCGTCGTAAATTTCTTTCATTGACAATTAAAATCTCCTGCGGTCATCAAGCAGGGACAATCAACCATATTTAGCAAGCGTCCTAAATACGAATGGTTTTATAGGGTCGTTCCCAATTAAAAAAAAGAAATAAATAAATACTGAGATGGTGGAAGAGGAAGGCGGAGAGAGATAAAAACGCCAGGCAGATTTAGCCAGGCGGATCAAAGGAATCCCTCCCACGGATCTGGCCAAGTAAAAGGCTAAAACTTACTCAGCTGTGGAAAAGCTGTGGAGTTGTTCCGGGCCAATTTTCGCCTCCTCTGCCTCTCTCTCCAACGCAGCGTTCGGATCTGCAGTGGAGAATGAAAGCTTGATTAAAGCACGTTGTGATTGTTATTCTAGCCTTTTAAAAAAAGTGAGCCCACGTGGAGGAGGACGGGAAATGGGTACCAGTCAGACACTCTCAAGTGGGAAGCTGTTCCACTGACTGGGCAAGGAAATAAATCTATTGGGGTTGGTGGGGTGGGTTTCACCCGCCGTGTCAGGTTCAGTTCATTGAACAGAGTAAGCTAGAATAGGGTTGGCTGGGTCGGTGCCCCAGACAAAGCTAGCAAACAATTCTAACCAAGATGGACTATGTAGTCCAGGTTTCTGGTGGCCCCCGAGTCCATCTCCTCCTGCGCCGAGGCGGTGAGAGGCCCTGGGGCTTCAGAGGTCGGGTTTTGTGCTGCATCAGTCCAGCCCAGGTCACAAAACTGAGCAGCTCATCCAGTTGTCAGAATGGCAGTGGAAAACAATTACTAGAGGAACTCTCACTGCCTGATGATCCATCATTGCTGACTGTCACGGTGACAGATGTAATAAATAGCCGAGAAAGGAGAAGAGGGGGGGCGGGAGAAATGGCTATAAAGACAAAGCAGAGGAAGGAAGGAAGGAAGGAAGGAAGGAAGGAAGGAAGGAAGGAAGGAAGGAAGGAAGGAAGGAAGGTGGATAAGAGGGAGGGAGGAAGGAAGGTGATGGGAGAGGGAGGGAAGGAAGGAAAGAAATGGGAGAGGGAGGAAGAGAGGGAAGAAGGAAGGAAGGTGATGGGAGAGGAAGGGAAGGAAGGAAGGAAGGAGATGGGAGAGGGAGGGAGGAAGAGAAGGAAGGAAAGGAAGGAAGGAGGAGAGGGAGGGAGGAAGGGAAGGAAGGAAGGAGATGGGAGAGGGAGGGAGGAAGGGAAGGAAGGAAAGAGATGGGAGAGAGAGGGAGGAAGAGAAGGAAGGAGATGGGAGAGGAAGGGAAGGAGGGAGGGAGGTGATGGGAGAAGGAGGGAGAGAGGGAGGGAAGGAAAAAAAGAGATGGGAGAGGAAGGGAGGAAGGGAGGTGATGGGAGAGGGAGGAAGGAGGGAAGGAAGGAGATGGGAGAGGAAGGAAGGAAGGAAGGAAGGAAGGAAGGAAGGAAGGAAAGGAAGCCAGGCAGGCAGACAGGAAGGAAGGGAAGGAAGGAAGGAAGGAAGGAAGGAAGGAAGGAAGGAAGGAAGGAAGGAAGGAAGGAAGGAAGGACTTCCCAGGGCTGTTTCCAGGCAGGCCTTCCTTGCATCGCTTGCTTGACTCATGCTGGCCTAAAGGCCACGGGAGATGGGTGAGATGCAAGTTGAAAGAGAAGACCTGCACGGCTAGACGGTGATTCTCCAGCTTGCTAATAAAGACAGGGCCTCTCCTTGAAGCTAATAAAGAGGTCTTCACCCCAGTTCCACCAAGATCCAGACTCTGCCGGCTGGGGAAAGCCAGACACAGGAGCCTTTTAGAGTTTAATCCTTTTTATTCTTTAAGGGTCTTAGAGCCACGTGGGGGGGGGGATGTTTCTCTCTCTCTCAAAGTCTTATCACGCAGCATTGAGTTCTAGCAGATAATCCTACCAAAATAGCAAAGCCGATCTCCCCCTTGGCTAAGAATAGAACAACATTCTTCCTTGAAAGGGAGAAGTTGCCATTATTATTATTTTTTAAAAAAAAAAAAAAAAAAAAGAAGAAGAAAAGAGAGGATAAAGTGCAAAGCAGTTGATTTTTTTCCTCTCAAGGGGGGTGGGGAGAGGAACTCAGAAATTGGCAATTTAAGTCCCAGCCAGAAGCCCTGGGTGACAGTTCTTAATAAATACCTTAGAAGGTTCAGGATTTTTCTGATTATTGGGCAGAAACGAAAAACTAATCCCTGCTCTCAGTGGCCCAGGGAGACCGGGGCATCATACAGAGAAATAACAAGCCCCCTCGTCCCTTGTCTTCCCCCCCAGACTTTGATTATTAAGCCATGAGGTCAGTCCCTCTCACTCCGCTGGTCCACCCGAGATCACCGGCGCCTATTTAAAGTTCTTAAATGCCTCTGGCTGGCTGGCTGGCTGCTGTTCCCAGTGGGAAAACCCTCACCATTAAGAAGAGACTGGACAACCCTTTGTCTGAAATGGTTTAGGGTTCCCTGCCTGAGCAGGGGATTGGACTAGATGACCTCCAAGGTCCCTTCCAACTCTGTTATACATGTTCTATTCTATTCTGCATTTTGTTCTATTCTGTATTCTATTCTATTCTATATTCTATTCTTTCCATATCCTATCCTATTCTATTCTCATTCCATCTATTCTATTCTCCCTTCCAACATCATTATCATTATTATTATTCTATTCTAATCTTATTCTATTCTATTCTCATTCCATCTATTATATTCTGCATTCTATTCTATTCTATTCTATTCTATTCTATTTATTCTACTCTGCATTCTATTCTATTCTATTCTATTCTATATTCCATTCTATTCTATTCTATTTATTCTATTCTGCATTCTATTGTATTCTATATTCTATTCTATTCTATTCTATTCTCTATTCTATTCTATTCTGCATTCTGTTCTATTCTGTATTCTATTCTATTCTATTCTATTCTATTCTATTCTATTCTATTCTATTCTATTCTATTCTTTACATATTCTATCCTATCCTATTCTCATTCCATCTATTCTATTCTCCCTTCCAACATTATTATTATTATTCTATTCTATTCTCATTCCATCTATTCTATTCTATTCTATTCTATTCTATTCTATTCTATTCTATTCTATTCTAATTCTAGGCAACAACTTGCAGAGTAAAATCTGCAGGGATTCCTTTGCCTTTACTCTTCCTACATTATACTCACAACACTTCTGTGAAATAGGCCAGGATGGCAAGCCCACAAGATCCTCTAGCAAACTTTGCAGCTGGGGAATGGCAGCGCTACTGATCTAGTCTAAGTGCAAAGCCTCTGGGACAAGGTCTTCATGAAAGGATATGGGAAGGCCTTTATCCCCACAAGCAACATGAAGTTAGTTCTGCCTGCCAGCTCCCCACCAGACTATCCCCCCTCCCCTTTTCACTTTTTTGCACCCTTCAAACTAAGTCAAGTATGCAATGCCGCACCTGGGAACAATTTTATCACCCTCCGGAAAAGAAAAAAAAAGTGCAAACACTATTAAGCGAGACAGATTTTCTCATTAATTTTCTCTCCCTCTGACAGAGTAGGAATTAACACCATTGATTTCTCCTCCTGCTCATTATCAATCATGCCAGGGCTTATTCATACATTGTCTGTTCCACCTGATCCACTCTCGGGAGCCAGTGATGTGTGTTAAACGAGTCCTGGGTGCTGGATTCGGGCAAGGCTCGGGGATGTGTTCTCCGACACCAGCGGAAGGCTTAAAACTGCATCCAGTTTTGGTCACCATGATGTAAAAAAGATGTTGAGAGTCTAGAAAGAGTACAGAGAAGAGCAACAAAGATGATTAGGGGACTGGAGGCTAAAACAGATAAGGAACGGTTGCTGGAATTGGGTCTCTCTAGCTTAATGAAGAGAAGGACGAGGTGGGGACAGGATAGCAGTCTTCCAGTATCTCAGGGGCTGCCCCAAAGAAGAGGGAGTCAAGCTATTCTCCAAAGCTCCTGAAGGCAGGACAAGAAGCAACGGATGGAAACTGATCAAGGAGAGAAGCAACCTGGAACTAAGGAGAAACTTCCTGACAGTGAGAACAATTAACCAGTGGAACAACCTGCCTCCAGAAGCGGTGAATGCTCCAACACTGGAAGTTTCTAAGAAGAGACTGGACAGCCATTTGTCTGAAATGGTATAGGGTCTCCTGCCGGAGCAGGGGGTTGGACTAGATGACCTCCAAGGTCCCTCCCAACTTTACTATTACTACTACTACTACTACTACTATTACTACAATTATTATTATTATGACAAAAATTCCTTTTTTGAGGAGCGGTTGCTGGAATTGGGTATGTCTAGTTTAACGAAGAGAAGGACGAGGGGGGACATGATAGCTGTCTTCCAATATCTCAGGGGCTGCCATAAAGAAGAGGGAGTCAAGCTATTCTCCAAAGCGCCTGAAGGCAGGACAAGAAGCAACGGGTGGGAACTAATCAGAGAGAGAAGCAACCTGGAACTAAGGAGAAACTTCCTGACAGTGAGAACAATTAGCCAGTGGAACAACCTGCCTCCAGAAATTGTGGATGCTCCAACACTGGAAGTTTTCAAAAAAAGAACTGGGACAGCCATGGTATAGGGTTTCCTGCCTGAGCAGGGGGTTGGACTAGATGACCTCCAAGGTCCCTTCCAACTTTATGATGATGATTATAAAACGTTCGAAACAAAACCGTGGGACTCGGTACAACACGCTAGTTAATACGATAGGAGTACATGGTGCTGAGCACCTGTGCATTATGGACTTTGTTCGTAAGTCCAGTGGTATGTTAGGACTAAAGCCATGGGGTTAACATCAAGCGGTTTATTTACAGAAAAGGTATCAGTTTTAGTAAATAATTAGCAGGAATTGGCGATGGCTATTATTATTACTGACAAAGACACCGGCTATTATTTAAGGGCTATTTCAACACGCCTTCTGAATGTGGAGTGACACGGAGCCCGGCCCATCTGCCGGTATGTTGGCTACTACCAGAAATATGTACCAATAATGACTTATTTTGGGCCAGCGACAAAACGGCTTCATTCTGGCCATTTAGTCTGACCTAGACATAGAAGAAGTGCTATTTCACCTACAAAAAAAAAAGCCAACATTCAGGATCAGAGTCCGTATAATAAGACGCTAAACTACAGATTGTGAAAAGCGGAAGTGCTTAAGACAACTACATGGGTGTGTGACAAAACCACAGGTGGAAACCATCAGTGGCAAAACTCTTCACACAAGCATTGCAAGTTCACCTCCCTTTATTATTATTATTATTATTTTGACTCTGCGACATTCAAAAGTCCAGCCTGGCTTTGACGTTCTTCCCGCTCATCTGCATACATTTAAACAGGCCGCGTGGCAACCGGCTCCATCCTCATTACGCCAATTAGAAAATTGTTTCAAACAGATGCCAGCTCCCTTTTGCTTAATAAGAAATGGCAGGACGATTTATTGTTCTTTCCTGCTTCCTGCCTCCAGCCAGATGTTAGAAATCGTGCTTACCTTTCCAGGAATCAAAGTGGCTGGGCAGCTTCAGACGTCTGCAGGAAACAGGCGATCAATGGCAGTTCCAGGATGCGCCAGAAAATGTCAGTGCTTCTGTCCACTAAGCTCCTTCCTTCCTTCCTTCCCATCTCCTTCCTTCCCATTCCCATCTCCTTCCTTCCCATTCCCATCTCCTTCCTTCCCATTCCCATCTCTTTCCTTCCTTTCCCCTCTCCAGTATATGTGCTGGGGAGGGATATGATTCCTTCCTTCCTTCCTTCCCATTCCCATCTCCTTCCTTCCTTCCTTCCTTCCTTCCTTCCTTCCTTCCTTCCTTCCTTCCTTCCTTCCCATTCCCATCTCCTTCCTTCCCATCTCTTTCCTTCCTTCCTTCCTTCCTTCCTTCCTTCCTTCCTTCCTTCCTTCCTTCCCATTCCCATCCTTCCTTCCATCTTTCCTTCCCATTCCCATCTCTTTCCTTCCTTTACCCTCTCCAGTATATGTGCTGGGGAGGGATATGGTTCTTTCCTTCCTTCCTTCCTTCCTTTCCTCCCTCCCTCTCCCATCTCCTTCCTTCCTTCCTTGCTTCCCTCCTTCCTCCCTCCCTCTCCCCATCTCCTTCCTTCCTCCTTCCTTCCTTCCCTCTCTCTCTCCCTCTCCCATCTCCTTCCTTCCTTCCTTCCTTCCTTCCTTCCTTCCTTCCTTCCTTCCTTCCTTCCTTCCTTCCCCCCATCCAATGGGGAAGAAAGAGACAGACAGGCAGACGGACAGACAGCCTGACGGTAGCCCTGGATGGGAAAAAAAAGAGAGAAAAATCTGTAAAAGTTGAAATGATGTCCCCCCCCACACACACACACACTTTTCTTTTGCTGGCGTTCCAGCTCATTTCTGCGCAAAACTGCTAAGTCAGTTGCCCAACCCTGTCACCTCTTTCAGTGCTGCACAAAACTGACAAAGCCAGCTGATTAACTGGGAGAAAAATCACCTCCGGGCCAGGGCGGGAAGGTAGGTAAACCTACTTAGGCCTGAAAAGGCCATCATTGGTGATGAATTGCCTGGCTTTTCATCAATGGATCGGGCCATTGATCAACGTATATTTTTTTTTAGATGACAAAAATTCCAATCGACAGGTTGCTTTTTGTTCTGAAGCCGCTAATGCTCGGCCCCCAGACCTGGGTTCATCGAAAACAGCGGGATAGTTTGATCCCTGGGAGGGGGAGAAGAAAAAAAAAAGCAATTGCTTTGCTCCATCTCTGGGTAGGGTTTTTTTTTTTTTTTTGGTTATTGCTTTCTTTAATGGAATAAATTACAGTATTGACCCGGTTCCTACATTACACCAAGCCTGATAGCGAAGGGCTTGACTTAAAATTTTTAAGTGGTGAATTCTCCCCCTTTTCCTTTTCAAAGACAGACTGTCAGAGATGCTCCAGTCTAGGGCAACCTGCACCGAGCAGGGGTTGGACTAGATGAGCTCTAGAGTCCCTTCCCACGCGCTGATTCTCTACTTTCCCGGTTATATTGGCTAGGCCAGTCGTGGCGAACCTATGGCGCGGGTGCCAGAGGCGGCACTCAGAGCCCTCTCTGTGGGCACGCGTGCCGTCGCCCCAATCCTAGGCCTTCAGCTGGGTTTTATAAAACCTTTTTGCTTTAGGCCTCCGCCGCTGTGTGCAAAAAAAAAAAGGTTCAATCAATCAGTCAATTTCAACTTCTTGCGGGGGGGGGAAAAAAAAGATTTTGCAAAGTTGGAATTGATTGATTGAACTTTTTAGTCCCACCCAGTCTGCCGTTACTCCCCAGCCACGCCCACCCAATGGGCCACACCCACCCAATGGGCCACACCCACCCAGCACCCGACAATGCATAAGTGGGTTTTGGGTTGCAGTTTGGGCACTCGGTCTCTAAAAGGTTCACCATCACTGGGCTAGTCTGACACGGCACACAGCTAAGCTACAGACCAGCAAGCCTTGGGAGTATCCTGCTGTGTAATTTTACACACACCTGTTTTAAGAGGAGGGCCATACCACAATTCATCACAGGCAGAAGGATGCGCAACATCTGTGAAAAAGCTACGGCCTGAAACTCTGCAACAGCTGTTGTCACCGGCAACGTAACACAGCACTGCTAAAAAGAACAAAAATTGGGAATAGAAGAAAGATGCTTCAAACATATTATTCTCGTTTCGAAATCTAGCCAAGTACAGTAACTGCAAAACTGGTGAAAATAGGCTTATTTTTTTTTGTTTTTTACAGATGTTACACAGGCTGCCCCTTTATCCCAGCCACCACGCCAACAGCTGCTTTATTTTATCCTCTGCCATCGGGACTTGCAACAGGGAACCCGGGCGGTGGTTGCCACGGAAACAGATGCAGCCCGCTTGTTACTTGTGATGCTTTCTTTGCTCTGACAACATTTCCCAGTGCTTGACATGCTGGGTTCCCGGGAGGCTCGGGGCCACGGACAGGGCAGGTATGTGAGGGCACAACGGAGGGATCGGAAACCTGGCTGGCCCTCCCCCCCCAAAAAAAACACCCTTAATTTTTGCTTTTTAGTGCCTGCTTTTCGAACAGGTGACTGATGGGCCTGACTCCAAGTGGCAACTGGATTGCAGCTCCCATCCCTGCTATAACAACCCGGAGTTGGATCGAGACTCGTGAATTTTTTAGCACACGGCCAGGAGCTATAGATTTTTTAAAAAAAGAGGGGAGGGAGGGGGGAAGAAAAAAAAAATCAGGCGGGTATTTTGTTCCACCTTCAGGCGGAAAAAACAACTTTGAGAGAAGCTGGGAAAAGCAATTAATCTCTTAAGCAGGCACGTCTGGCACAGGAAGAGAAAGGAGGGGGAAATTGTGTATGTGTGTGTGTGTGTGTGTGTGTGTGTGTCAATTTTTTAAAAAATTGATCGGGGTGCTTCTCTAAAGAAGCATGGGAGGAAGTGAAAAAGATTTTCGTAGTCACGATTTCATTCTGACTCTCCATTTCCCAGATAATAATAATAATAATAATAATAATAATAATAATAATAATAATAGTAATAATAGCAAGCAAGGGTAGTACCAATAGTGATAGGCTCCTTGGGTGCAATCCCAAAACAACTGGAGCACCACTTGAACACCATTGCATTGACAAATTCGCTATTAGTCAATTGCAAAAGGTGGCCTTACTAGGAACTGCTTCCATCCTGCGACGATATCTGTAATACCATCAAACATCCCCATCTGCCTATCCCAGGTCCTGGGTAAGGACTCGATAGGTAGACAAAATGCCAAATCAGTCTGAACATCTGGCTGACTGTGTGATGATGATGAAGGAAGAAGAAGAAGAAGAAGAAGAAGAAGAAGAAGAAGAAGAAGAAGAAGAAGAAGAAGAAGAAGAAGAAGAAGAAGAAGAAGAAGAAGAGAAAAGTAGTAGTAGTAGTAGTAGTTGGAAGGGACCTTGGAGGTCATCTAGTCCAGCCCCCTGCTCAGGCAGGAAACCCTATACCATTTTGGACAAATGGCTGTCCAGTCTCTTCTTAAAGACTTCCAGTGTTGGAGCATTCACTGCTTCTGGAGGCAGGTTGTTCCACTGGTTAATTGTTCTAACTGTCAGGAAAGTTGGTCCCTTCCAACATCACCTTCATCATCATCATTATGCTGTTTGCTAAATATTGAGAATGTTACTTGGAAAACCCCCAGTCCCAACCCTAATCTTAATCCTAACCCTAACTTAAACCCCGACCCCACCTTATTCCTAACCTCATAAAAACTAATAACATCTATACAAAAAGAAAAAGAAAAAAAGAAAACCCAGAAAGATAATTAAAGAGAGAGACCACTAAGGATCTCCCCCTCGTCCTTCGCCAGAGGTGCCCCAAGAATGGAAATTTGTTGACCTCTGGATGTTCCTCTCCCCATCACCTTCCGCAGGTGAGTGGCTAAGGCGCGGCTGAGGCCTTTCCCACTCAAGAATGTCACAATTTTGTGCAGTCCTTCCCACGGGATGTCGCAGGAGTGAAGATAACCAGATAACCACCCTGGGTTATCTTCTGCATCTGCCTGTCCTCCTTGCTCCTCCAACGCCCTGGGAGATTTTACCACGCCCCGACCTGGCCTGACAGACAAGTCTTCCACGGGCAACGGACATCAACGGCGGCTTCCCGTTTATGGGCCCCGCCCAATTCGCTTTGTAATGAAGGGAAGATCAAGAGAACAAAATGAACATGAAATGCAGAGGGATGGAATAAACCAGGATGAAGACGGCAAGAGACTGCTAGAAAAGATGTTGGTTTTAAACCTGAACTTTTTTTTTTTTTATTAAGTATAATGCCAGAAAAGGCTAATTAAACAAAGCTTGACTTTGCATGTGACGACGGTGGCAAGGATGATCTTTCCGCAACACTGGAAAAAGGAAGGAATGCCGTCAGGCGAAGAAATAATTAAAAAAAAAATACTAGAATGTGCAGAGATGGACAAATTTGACTATGAGACTGAAAGAAAAAGAAGAAACGGACTATTATCAAACTTGACGTTTATTTTACCACTGGCTGGAGGAAAGAAGGAAAGATTGGGAATGAAATATGTATTAGCGTGTAAACTCGATGGCAAAAAATGTCAAGGTGTAATCAATCAGACCGGTCTGTCTTTAAAACTTCCTGTATATACTCCCTTGACTCAGCTGGCAAAGAGGGGAGGAGAGCCTGTGGCTTGGTGGTTAAATCACTGCCTAGCATGTGGACTGCCCAGATTCGAATCCCATAAAGGGTGTGGCTAACTGAAGAGAGCAGAATGAGCTTGAAATGGCCATCTTAGTCTCCCAATTTAATTCTTTAACTCTGACAAAAGAAATTTGGATTTGTAAATGTTTCACAGTTGCGACTTGAGCCTGCTTAACGCCCCTAGTTGGGGGGCTGCAAGGCAAAAGAGATTGTAAAAAAAAAAAAGTATAACTATAGTATAGCAGTTAAAAAATGTCAAGGTGTAATCAATCAGACCAGTCTGTCTGAAAAACTTCATATATATAGAAGCACGAAGCCAAAAACACCAGCCTGAAGATGACGAATGGGACTTTGTCGAAACGTCGCTAAGACACTTCCAATTTTACGTGGGAGAAAACCTGAATAACCAAAGACCTACATATATATATATATATATATATATATTGAAAGTGTCTTGGCGACGTTTCGAAAAAAGTCTCATTCGTCATCTTCGAAACGTTGAAACATCGCCAAGACACTTCCAATTTGACGCGGGAGAAAACCGAATAACTAAAAAGACCTACATACAAACACCTGCAAAAACCTCAGAAAACAAATATATA